GGGGGGGGGGGGGTTCACTCTGGTCTATTGCGGACATATAAGAACCTGCAGCAGAGATACATGTTCCAGACTGCCTTACAAGGTTCCATTACATATCCTGAAGTCATTTTCTTCCACAAGTGATTGATTTGCAGGGATGTTTCCCCCTTCTGGTGAGATAAGTGCCCAGACTGTTCTTTCATGCCGTCAATTCAAATAACTTAAAGGTACATGTTGGTGATCTTAACTGAGACACAGCTAGGAAAGACACACAAACAGACCTTGAGGTAGCTGTTGGAGTCAGCAGAGGGCTCCTCAGCAAAACCACTGCTGTCTGACTGCTGACTGACCGTCCTCAATAGGTCTGAGGGAGAGACACAGACAATGACGCTCTGTTATTATTTTCGGCAGTACCCCGTCTGTCCAAATGGTGGCAGAAAAGAATCATTCATGCTGAGCATGAAGCATAAAGAGACAGGACAGTGTGTCCTCAGTGCACTGAGACACAGGAAACATGTTTATTGCATACAGAAACAGGCTGCACACATAAACTCTCATAGATACACTGGAAAAGAATGCAGGAACGAGCCAAGAACGAAAAGTGAAGAGACATCTAGCAAGTTAACTTGGATGCAGGTTTCAAAATATTCCAAAAAAATATGCTTTGCAGATGTTTTATAAGTAAGGAAATGCATTCAACACATTTGTTGAATCCCAAATATACACACAATGCATTTTGTTTGTTTTCAAGATTTCCATAAGAAACATGGACTCTGAAACAATGAAGGAAACTTTCTTCTGAAGTTAAGTCAAACAATCAGTTGAAAGTTGAAAACAGAAGTTAAGGTGAACTCACCGGTGCCTCTGGAAGTTCTGGGTGGCAAAGCCTCATCTTCGTTACTCTGAATCTGAAAGACAAACGACTTGTAAAAGACATTGTGGCCCACATGCTTGTTCGCTTACGGCAGCAGACATTTCATTAAGCTCCACACAAGGTGGGACTCACTGAAAAAGGTTAACCCACACTGTTTTGTTTTTTTTGGTGTGTTTTTTGACATACGCGACTTGCTGCTAGTTCACATGACTCTAATGTTTCACTTCTGGTGTGAACTCTGAGTCGAAGCACGTTGGATAGACAGAGAAAAGGATTTCTGGTTTTATTTGCATGAATTTGACTGCTAGTGTTCGTGCTGGATAACTAGTGTTTACTGGCAACAGGGGGCACAGATGTACAACTCGCAGCAGGATAATGCTGTTAATGTGGGGTGGTGTGATGGTGTCGTCAACCCAGGAGAACACCACAAAGTCCTCAGCGTGTAAGATAGGGCTGCCCCCATTTCGGTCTTAGTTGACAAAGATTTCTTAAGTCCACTAGTCGTTTTTATGCTTTTTTCTTTTGCAGAACAACTTATTTCCAAGAAATGTATGAGCACATATCTGGTATACACAAGATTTAAAGTGGTGCTGTTGTGTGATTCTTTGTGGAGAAACTCAGTTTAACAGACCCGTCAGTTAAATCAACTAATCGATTAGAATACAAAATCGACGAAGAATTTCTTTGGTCAAGGGCGAGCCTAGTGTAGGGTGGTTTGAATGATCAGCAACGACTAAGACGGAATCAGTGATAACGTTGTGACCAAGGACAACCCTACACCACCTCTGTGACGGAGGAGTCCTAACTTTTCCGAATGCAAGTAGGAAGAACCCAAGAGAACTGAGAAGAACAACGTACCTCCTCCATGTCGAAAGAGTCTGTGTTTTCCGTGCGAAGCTGTGCCAGCTTGAGCGGGGCCAGGGTAGGAGGAGCTTTCTCTGGGATAGAGGTCAGGATCTTCTCCTCCACCTGCTCCTCTTTGACCATCTGGGTTCCTTCCTCTGTTCTCTCATTGGATGACTGAGAGTCAGCTGACTCTGGATGATTCCCTCCATTGGATGCTGGTCCGGTTCTGCTCTGTTCAGGACTAATGGAATGCCAGATGTTATGGCACAGAAATTCGCATTACTTTAAGATTTTGTTGATAATAATTTTTTACTTTAACTTAAGTAGGATTTTAAATAAAGGACTTTTACTTGTAATGGAGATTTTTCACACTGTTTTACTGGTACTTTTACTTAAAGCTACTATGAGGAACTATCAATTTGTGAGGATTTTGGCAGTCCCTGTGGACAAAAACGTTTTGGGGTAGCAGGCCCAGCAATACGGCCTGGGGCTCCTAGCAGGGACCGGCAGAGCAGCAAGGCAAAACTCTGCTCCTGGCTCCGGGTCGGTCTGCAGTGAGCCGGTCACTACTGGAGGCCCAGCTAGAGTCTGAAGGAGATTCTGGTGAACCTGCATGATTTCGTCTGATATCTTCTTTTCTGGAATCCGACCTAGAGGCACGATGACGAGCATCAAGAATAACTGTGTAGAAATGGCCAATCTTCTCACTGATGGTCTTGTTTACTCAAGTAGGACTCATAGAGGCATCAGTATTACATTGAGACTTTTTCAATAACCAGTTCAAAGTTCCTCACAGTAACTTTAAAGGATCTGAGTACTTCTTCCACCACGACAAACTGGTTTAAATTTTAGCTAGCTAACATTAGCTACTAGGACTCATTGACACTGTGCATAGTTGTAGATTAATCATTCATATGTGGTTCGGTGCTGTTCAAATGAGCTTTTGAGTAGAACATGACATCTCTCGGATTTATTGACTAGTCGACTACTTTTTTTGGGGTAGTCAATGACTACTAAAATGCAGCGGTCGAGAGTGCCCTAGCTACCGGTCCGTCCAGCAGTACCTGTCGTCTCCATCCCCGCTGGTTTCCTCAGCGACTGTCGCCAAGGAACAGCTGTCTTTTTTGCGCATGTGATTCTGGTTGACTGTCTCCGGCTGGTGGGCGGGGTCGGTACTGCAGCCGTCCTGCTCTGGACCGGCGTGTGCGTGACCGTTGGTGTGTGACTGACCAGAGGTGGCGTGTCCGTTCAGCTGTGTCTGTTGGTTAGGCGTGTGTGCTTCAAGGGACACTGGGGCGGCCGCGAGCAGGTTGTGTTTGGAGAGGGTGGTCTTGAGGAGTTTGGCGACATTCCGAGCCGAGCCGCTCCTCCTCAGAGGAGGAGTCGACTCATCTCCCCCTCCTTCCCGCCCTGAGAGAGATACAAGACCAACAGATCAGAATAAAATTCAATATAGTTCAAATGTAATTCTATAGTTGACAAAATATATATTTGACAACTAACTTTTGGTTTATGGTGAACACAATTGAGACGTAATAGACTTTATGGAGCAAAAACTTTCACTTTATACAGAATATCGTTGCCAAAAGAGCTAACAGAAAAAATAATTTGGCAGCATAAATTTCTGAGAAGAAACTTAAATCAATCAAATAAAAAGCAATTTAGAAACTAAAATGCTCAAACTTGGTCTTGACAAAAGTTGATTTGATCAACTAAATAGTGTATTCCTCTTCTAATAAGGTTACAGCATTACAGATCAATTTGACTAAAAGTGAGTAAAATTCAAATGGACCTTCTCAAAACATTTGCAGTGAGAAATAGGCTATGCCCCTGCTGAATCTTTTTTTTTTCATTTTACGTGATGCCTATTTGGCAGATTGGTCCAAGTTTGGTGAGCCCGGTGCATCACGCTGGGCGGGCTCATTTGAATGAAGTTGAGATTTTTTAACTTCATTCAAATACAGACCTGTCAACGCAGCTCAACCCCCCTCCAAACCCACTGCAACGGTCCCACAAATCACTGCGTGACTGCTTCTCCGGCTCTCCATAGGAAATGAATAGAGAGCGTTGAGACGCCCTCCTAAACCGGATCTGTTGGAAATACTCCATAATACTTTGCCCACAGCTCTTAAAAGTCTAGACTACAAAAAAAAAAACAGTCCTTTGGTGGACTGTTTGTGGTTGCCAGGGTTACCTTGGTCCTTGGAGCTGATGCACTGGACGGGCTGACCAGAAACTTGACTGTAGAGCTGAAAGAACTCATTGGCTACTGTGGTCAAGACTTCGATCTGACGGAAACGACCTGAAAGAGACAGAAACAAAACAACAGTTACAAAGTTCTTCACAGTTGCCAAAAGAGCGGAAAAATGAAGACACAAAGATGCTTTTAAAAACTTGCTCCGATTAGGTTTCTTGAAAATGTTTGAAGAAAGCTATTTTTAACCTGCTCCTTTAAGTGTAATAATTCGCAGCGAGGCGATCAAGAGGCACTTTAGTTAAAAGTCTGAACACGTCCATGTCCAGCAGCGCTCTTCCTCCTCTGATCCTTCCTCAGTTCAGATATCTCTGCTGCTTGAATGTTTTCTGGTGTCTCTGTGCTTGCTTTTAAAGCACCCCCCCCCAACAAAAGATCCACCGTACGAGGTCATTCAGTCTCATCTTCAGCCTCATGAAGCCCCCTCTCAAACCAGAATAAACTACACCAGTGAGTTTCCAGTGCAGTTCGTCTTCTTCCAGGAAGCTGGTGTCACCGAAATTTCCAAAAACACTCCCTATTGACTGTATAGAGGTCTATTATTAATGTCTTCCATGTTATTGATAAAAGTAGGGTAAAGCACCGTACTAGAATTAAGAAAAATCTCACACTATGCTTGTAAAAAATACTACGAATTGAAAGAAATTAAATCCCATAGGCTTACACAAAAATAAGAGTTTGGGATTCAACAACTATCTACAGTAAAAGACTGATTAGCAAAAAGCTTCATGTTTGGACTGGATACAGACGTCAGAGCCACTCCTCCCTCCCTCCCTCCTCCTTCTTCTTCTGTGGTTGTGTAAGTCGAGCTGTCAGTCTTGTCTGTAACAAGATGATGACTTGCATACTTTCCTTCCTTCCGTGCTCGTCCCTCCTCCCCTCCATCCCTCCCTGTCTAAATACTTGTCAGTCTGTTATGAAACACAGACTTCTGTCTTTTATCTGCCGCTCTGTTGTCACCATATGACTCGCTCTGATGTCAATCACCTGAAGTACATTGCACAGTGCTGCTCCCTCTCTCACCTCTGATCCCATTGTGACTTCTAACTAAAAGACAGACTAGTTTCAGTGGTAGCTTTCATTTACATCACTGTTGTCAGGTGGAAATATCCTAACATCATTCTCATTTCATCTTAGATGACGGACTGAAAGGTCTTCTCTCTGGATGGAAGAAAACTACTTTAACTACTGTTACAGTGAGTTTATACTTGCAATAGTACTTCAGGAAACTTTTGTAAACACTGACGGATGCCATCACGAATGAAAAGTCCAATACATCAACTAAAATCCCTACATCTTTATAGGCGACGCCTTTGGCATTTTAGACAGAAGAACAGGAAACATGTGGAGAGAGGGGAATAAGAGACGCGATTACATACTGTGCATCTTTACCAGTAGACTATCCGGACGGCCAAAATCAGCCCATCTTCACAGGAAATTACAGTAGTATTCAAACTGATCTAAAGGTATTGAAAAGATGATTTAAAAAGGTGGCCACAGTGACCTTGACCTTTGACCTTCTACCACCAAAATGTAAGAGTTCATCCTTGAGTCCAAGTGGACATTTTCTACCAAATTTGTAGAAATTCTCTCCAGGTGTTCCTGAAATATCACCGTCATTAGGTCAAAGTGACACAGACCTTTGACCAATTTCCTCCTTGAGTCCAAGTGGACGTTTGTGCCAAATTTGAGGAAATTCCCTCCAGACATAATATAATATAATGCCTCCGGCCACAGACAGCATACAAACACGGCCTGTGACACAATCAGACAATCGGGTGCTTCACAAGCAAACTGCCACCGTTTGTGTTATAAGTCACACTCCTTCTCAGAGTCATAACTCGGTCAGCTCTGAACACACGGACAAGACACAGATATATATATAGATTCAGTGCAACTTACTCTTTAACATATCATTACACATACCAATATCTCCGATGATCATTGCAATTAAATATCCATAAGTCCACTTAAATCATAGAAAAAAAGGACACCAATGCCAAAACTTGCCTGAGAATCTTCATGTTTTAAAGTTTTTTTCCATATCAAAGTAATCTACTGATAGTTGTCTGTACATCCATGGGCACATTGCCAACAGAAACTGCTAATAGCTAATTTGGCATACTTTTAACGAAGCCAATTAGACCAAATCTAAACAAATGTACTTTTCCATCACCAAACAGCAGGTAGACAAAGTTAACAACTAGCTGATGAAGAAGGTGGAACATTAAGCAGCTAAAGAGGGAGATGTTTTTCTTTGGAGTTAGTGGAGACCAAACCGGAGCTAAAAGGACAGTGAAGTTATCGGCTTGTTCTGCTGCCCCAAAGTGACAAAAAAACAAATCTGGTAATGCACCTTTTTAAACAAGCTGCAAATTCTGAAAAAAGCTACAAATAAATAAATTAAAACCTTCTAGTTAAAACACGTAGGAAAGGAACGATGATGTTCAAGCTACAAACCAGTCAGTCATACAGTTCAGAATTTTTCAGTCACATCTGGACTGCAGAACATGAACCCCTTATTACAGCAGCCGTGTGTGATGATAGTAATGCTGTGTGAGTCCGTTTCCTGCTGACTGCTGACTCTGCACTAATGCTCACTCTGAGGATCCTGAAACAGGAAGTGAGGAATAAGAGAAAACGACACGTACTCCCTTTTTTTTTCTGTCTTCATCCCAAGAGATTCTTTCTGATGGTGAGAACAGAGCTTACATAAACAACACACACACACACACACACATATATACACACACACACACACACACACACACACACACACACACACGTCTGGGCTCCGGGGAATCGATGGAACAGTATGAGAATGTTCTGGAAAAGAAAAAAGAAATCTTCCAGGACCAACTGACAGACCAGAGACGGTTAAAGGAGCAGTTAAAAAAAACAAAAAACTGATCCAGGTCTGATCTGAGTCACTACAGCTTTTCATAAAGTTAGTTTGCAGTTTAAAGCCAAACACGTACTACGCCAGGTTCCATCAGGAAGCAATCTGCTATACCTTAAAATATCTCTGGATTCACAAAGAGCTCATGAATCATCCTTTTTTTCTCGTATGTGAATACGCCATAACATGGCCCTGTGAATGGTTCTCTCTGCTTTCACACCACTAACAAACCACACCAGAGTTCCCTCCTGTTCAGGTGGTCTCGACCCGCTTGTTGAATTCGCGACAGAGTTCGACTGACTCCTTTCACACCTGCCCAAATAAACAGAACCAAATAGGCAATCACACCCCAGTTTGTTGTAACCGAACCAAATTATGTATGAAGCCCATTCATCAGTGTCCCTCAGAGGGATCATACCCTTGTGTCTTTTTCTTTTTAATACTTAGCCCTGAGGGATGCCAAAGCTGGACTTATATCACAAAGTGTGTTCCAGTGATGGACGTTAATCAGTGGTTCAGTGAAGAGCGTTCTAACAGTGAACAAGTGCTTCTGAAGCTCCTTTATTTTCTCTCAGCTGGCCTTTTAATGAGTTCTCGTTCACAAGTTTATTGTGACACCATGAGTTGTTATCCTCTCCGCCACTCCTCCGGACTCAGTTCACTGAGCTGCAGTGTGCGTGTGACCAAACAGCGCGTGACTCATTTAGTTGTTATCTGCAGATAACAAGAAAATTAGGCCGTGATCCTGAGATAAGGAACCACTAGTTATGAAAGTCTAGAATGCACTGTGTCAGTTTGTTTGTTTTGGAAACCCAACATCCAGGTTAACACCTCTGGTGACCTTTGAATGACTGAAGGGAAATCTTAGTCCCAAACAAATGGAACGACTGATCAGTTTGTTTACCAGTGTCAATCACTCGCAATGATATCAAGTAAATTAATTAGACTTTTATGTGGATGTTCGAGCATTTGGAAAAAATAATCAGAGTGAATCTGTACAAAAAAGTTGCTCCCGCTCCATTGTTTGATCTTTAACTTCCTGTCAACGCCAGAGGTGGGAATGTGTTGCATTGCGTAGGTGGACATCTGCTGCTTGTGATGTCTTTCGAACTGCATTTTGCCAAATATTTAACCAGTTTCACAAAATGATGAACAGCGTGAAGGACCGCCATAGCTGGAAGAAAATGAAACGTTCATTCGTGGCAGTCGGACAAACATCGACCGATATTACATCAGTTTTACCACACAGATCTGGGATCATCCGATCACATTACGGTTCTAATTTTCATGGTCAGGATGGGTTGGTCTTTGTTATTTATTGTTTTATGCATTCAAAACAATAGGATATAATAACAGCTGTCTGAGTGTGTGTTAATACAATAGTTTTTCATCCAAAACGCAAAGTCACAGTGGAGACTCAGATACACTATTGCAGAAAGTCCTGTATACCATGACATGGGCTTTTAATTGATGTATAACAAGCTGATTATTTCAAATTATCTCATTCATCAAATATATATATTTAATAGTTTGTGTTTCAATCATTTCAATTTTGATTTCAGACCATTAATGTATGTGCTAGTTATAAGCTAGTTATAAGCAAGTTAACGCCGAACAGAACTTTGCATGTTTTTTATCTGATATCTGTGGTGGATGTGGTGCTGTTGGTTCACATGACCTCCTCAAAAACGTGGACGTATTTTCCCTCTTTGACAAATGTACGGCAGGCTGTGTTAACCGATCAGGACTTTTTACTTGTATTTCCTACAGCCAGCAATAGGAAGAGGAAGTTGAGAGACAAAACCCGAGATGAGACAATGAAAAATTGGGCGGCCCACATAAGGTCAGTAAGACTTGAGAAACTGGTGCATAGTGGCTAAAATATAAATCTGTTGCACTGAACAACATAAAGAACACACAGGAGTCCAAAATATCTGAGACAGGAACTCTAGTCAAAAACCTATTCATTCTAAGTTGAAGTGCAAATATTTAGAGCTCCTCTGCTAAACAACACTCAAACTGTCTTGTAAAGCAAACTAGGACGAGTGATGACTTTTCAAATTGCCCAAAACAGCCATCAAAGTGTAAAATAAAACTTTTGCAATCCTGAAGTACTTTCATCTGTGGATATCTTCTCACACACACAGGATCTTTGGAAAATCCTTTATTTAAAGCACCAAGACAGTTAAACTGTCAAAAAGAAGATAATCAGCTGTGTATGTGTGTGTGTGTGTGTATGTTCAATTAGGGAGCCAGAACCTTCATGCAAACACAAGCTTGAAAACAAAAAGAGGCCAGGATGTTAGTAGTGCAGGTTTGCGTGTATGTGCGTGCGTGTGTGTGTGTGTGTGTGTATGTGTGTCTGGGACAAACAGATCTTTGTCCCCATTGGCTCTGTTGCCCAGGCAGTTGGCAGACCAGCTAAAAGAGCTAAAGGACCCCACAAAACACCCTAATAACACTGGGAACAGGACACACACACATAGTATTTGAGCTTCACTTCCTCTGTCTACAGTTTCAGGACATGAACCTCCTCATCGCTAATATGGTTAACCCTCGATCGGCAGTGCTGAGGTGTTTCGGCTGCCGTTGAGGATGTGGAGAGTAGTGTACAGCCACAAACACTAGTACAAATGCAGGAGTACAGGGGAGCGTAGGGAGAATGACACGTACTAGTCAGAGCGTAGTTGGGGTTCTCCACTTCCATGCGCTGCAGCTGAGCTCCCAGGTAGACCTGCAGGTGGAACCACAGGAAGTGGTGTCATTAAAAAACAGTACCAGTGATCAACGGTGCAAGGCAGGCAGCAGACTCAAAAAAAAAAAAAGTTGATCTGGTGTGTTCTCACAGATAAAATGATGTTGAAGACCAAATATGCAGCGCGAGTTTGGTGCTTTTCAGTAATTCAGTCCATAATTTTGGTTCAGACTGAAATATCTAAACAACTATTGAATGGATTGCCATGAAATGTTGTACAGACATCTCATGAAGTGTCCTCTATTGTCGCCATGAGGTGTTCCTAGATTCAATTTAGTTTAGATTGGTTTAAATTGGGCAGGACTGCGCGTTACTGAAGGAGTATGTTCGTGGGTCGTCTGTCCGCTCACTCTGCTAGAGTATAATTATTATACTTGAACTGCGGTCACCAGCGGTTCAGAGGGCTTTGAAATCACCCCAAATTTGTCGTCATGTAGAGTTTGTTTCCAGTGCTAACACACTGCCATCATCCGTACCTTGATGTCGATGCCTCGTGCTGTGGAGGTGTTGCTGAAGAACCTGGAGGGAACTTTCGAGGCCAGGTTAGGTTCTTCTCGACCAAAACCAAGATTTAGGAGGATTTCTTCGGGGTCCTCCTCATACAGGTCCAGCAGCTCTGACACACTGTGGACACACACACACACACACACACACACACACACACACACACACACACACACACACACAATCAGTATGTCAGTGGGTCTTTCATTCAGTCAGTTAGCTAGTGAGTTAGTCTCGTCAGTCTAACCGCAGGGTAAGGAGGGTCTCCTCAGGGTGCTCCTCTGACTGCTCCAACACCTCTGAAACACTACGAAAACACAGACAGCCAGTTAGTATTTCTCACACACAGCTTTTTGTTAGTCGGTCAGCGAGGTAGTTTAGAAAGTGTGACGATGCCCTGCCCCTTTCCCAGCACCTCCAACCGCCCCAGCTGGAGGATGAAGACCAGAAGAGACCTGAAGAGAAACTGATCTGTATCACGTTACAAAAGGAAACCTTTCATGTTATAACAATATAAATTAGGTTACAAGTTATAACGTGATCACTTGAGTGTAATTAATGGGAAACACTGGAGATAATCAATGAGAAATGATTCTACCTCCGGCTCATTCTTCCTGCGGTACAGCCCCATGCATTTTAAAAATATAAATAGTATATTGTTATAAAAATATAAATTTGTTTGTCATATTAACATGAAAATATCTTGTTATAACGTGATACTTGATATAATGTGAAATGTGTTGATTGTTGTCGATTGTTTGTTATGCATCATGTCAAATTCCTTGTAAGTGCAACATACCTTAGCAAATAAACGATTCTGATTCTGAAAAAAGTCTTGTAGCAATAAACTTCTCACTTTATAGCTTGATACTGGTCTGTTTTTCTTCTACTAACATGGCAGCAATACGCTTCCGTAGATCTGCATTGGATTGGTTGGTTGGTAAACTTGCCAAGCATTCTTTGAGCCATTTGTTTTTTGCAGAAAGATTTGGGGCACATATACACACATATATATACACACACATACACACACACACACACACACACAGACATATATACACATACATACATACATACATACATACATACATACAGTTGTGTGAAAAAGTGGTTGCCCCCTTCCTGATTTCTTATTTTTTTGCATGGAGTCTTTTTGCATGGAGTTTTTTTGCATGGAGTCCCAGGAGTCTCTCGAACCCTGTATCAACAACATCAACCGGAGAATGGAATACCCACGATGCTCCACCCATAGCCCACTATGAACCATTACACACACACACACAATACACCAAACACCTCCAACGGCTGGAGCACTGTGAAAAACCCTGGCACCGTCAGCCTCCTACCACCACCACCAATAAATCAGCCTTCCATGAGAACTCCCACCACAGACATTCAGCTCACAAATCTGCTGATGACGCTTAACATACTTACAGTATTTAATTAGTTTACTGACCACTGACCAGTTTAACCCCCACATTTCTGATAGAGCATTGACACTGTGAGCTGTTATTATTCAAACCAGTCAAATTTCATTGAGAGGAGCTCTAAGAAGAGTCTGGTTTTCATCTGTTGTAAGTAGCATAAGAGAGAAGCTTCAGTTCATTAGAGAGAGAAAGCAAAATCATTTGTTCAGAAACTAAGCAATGTCAATCATAACAGTGTTAAAGTCTTTATATATTTACATCTTTATGTACAGCTAACATAGTCTTATATAACTTGTTACCAATATTTTTTGATTTCGACATCTTAAAATTTTGCAATGTCTACCCATGACCATAGCCTGACCAATACTGGCTTTGAACCTCTTTATAAGGGGGTCCTGGGTTCAGACAGAAAGTGCTACTGCACAACGGGAAAAGGCGACAGGCTTTCAAAATAAAAACCCCACAAAATGATGATAGTAAATTCAGCTGTAGTTCTGTGAGTAGTAGATAAGGGAAAGCTGCTAAAATCAGGAAGCAGTGTTATGCGTCCTCGAAAAAGTAACTGTAGAAAACACTGTGTTGTGTCGAAGCAGTGTTTGAGAAGAGAACTTCACTCCCGCCAGACTGCTTTTCCTTTTCTGTCCATTTAAGTTAATTAGAAACACAAAGGTGTCTGGTGACACCAGAGGTGAATATCCGGATAGAATTAGAATAATACTTAAACACGTGCTCTTTGGTGGATTATGTGTTTGCCGAATCACAAGAGATGCTTCGACAGATTCAGAAAAGATTGTGAAGATAACTTTATTGGTACATTTGGTCAGTAATTAGAGCCACATTGTTATTTTCCTTTTCTTTTTTTTTTTAATGGAATTCTGCTGATACAGCCTTCTGGTTAGTGCTAAATCCCAGATCCCGTGGTTTATTTTTTAACCTCCCGCTCCCTGGAGAGATGTGTTCCCGCGGGAATCCAATTCCAATGTAGCCGTCCTGCCCATACCAACATTAATATTTGAGAGTTCAAAAAAATCCAATAACACATCGAGAGATTTTTTTCAAGGACGCATAACACAAATAAAAAATGTTCAACTACAAATACAAGGTCTTTCCCGTGACTCCTTCACAATAAAAGCCACTGCAATCCTTTTAATGTGAACGAACAACAGTAGGATTGTAAATACACATCGTGGATACTGCTGAAAAAAAAAAAGACTGGACAATCGTCATCATTATTTTTACTGTCTTTAATCATGTTGTGTCCTATTAGGTTTCATCCTGGGACCCCATGCTTAGGAACCACTTCTCTACATGCCTGTGCCTCTTTTGGTTGAGTTCTCTGTAGTACCATTTATTTGGCTCGAAGTTTAACAACAGCCCTCTGTGTCTCGACCCCTCTCTACTTGCACAACTTCCCGCAGAAACCTCCGTGAGTCTGACTGAAGACTGAGGACGGTGAACTGACCTGGACACAGTGCTGCTCTTCCCTGATCCTGTGGAGTTCATACTTCGTGCCCTCTCTTTATACTGACTCCTCTTCTGATCCGCCGCAAGACCAAAACTATACATCAACATACACACAGGAGCATTAGCACACATACACTGAGTTATCTACTTCATTTACTGAATGTTGAGAATAAAAATAAAGTGAACTCACCAGGATTCGGTTTTACTGTTACTGGACTGAAGATGGTTGGCTGCAGAGAAAAACAAGGACATTAAGATTACTCATATATCAACAAAAACAACATCCCATATATCAGTCTGTGACTACTGATTCCCCATAGACCACCATTGTAAAATAAACAGTTGACAGGATCTCCAGCTATAAAAATGTCCAATTATTACTCTTGGTGTTATATATTTTCAAGCCATGGGGGGTTTAATCTTTGTCAAATTTGACCAAAGCCCAGAAAAGTCTTTTAATTTTCTGAATTACTTCACTGCTGAACGGACAGAGGCATGATGGGACAAACACAAATTCAGTGGGCCGCATAGCCTCGGAAGCAAACCTGATACAGGACAAGTTTGTTGTCAGCATCAGTTATTAATGTGGTCCAACAATGGGTTACGTGTTCTCAAGAGCATGGTCCAGTCCCACAAAGATAGACTTAGCTGTTTCTAGGACTTAAGATAAACATCTAAATTCACCCGTGTAGTTCTTGATTATCTTAGGGACTAATTTACTATGTAGCGAAACGTTTTTTGGCATATGTGGCAGAGGAGCAGCTCTGTAGGACAGATTTTTGAAAGTTTACACTCCAGCTAGCCAAGCAACCGTTACCAGAAATTGCATTACATTGGTTATACATTGAGGATGCTGACTTTTTGCCTGGGACATGCCACTGTAGCTTCAGTCTTTTAGCATACCATGTATACAAGTGCACAGTTAAGACACTTTTGTCTGCTGAAATAATTTTTAAAAAGGCAGAGACTGCATTTTCAACTAACTCAGGGAGCGAACGTTAGCTTCATTAGCTAGCTCACTTTAACATGTAAAAACTGCCAGCGACAGTTCTCATTTCAGTGAGCATAATCAACAGTCGTGTTGTGACAAGCTGTGTTGGTCCACGTCGGTCTGAAATCAAGGACCCATTGTTTCAAAAAATGGTAAAACTGCTTCAGTTCTGACTAAATAATGTTGAAGCATATTCCCTTTCATACTGTCAGTGAAAGTCATCACCAACTGCAGGTGTGACTGCTTTCTCTTTCATTTCAAAAGAACCTGTTGGGACATGTCGTCCTGTCAATGTCTTTCTCTGAATGTCTCCCTCTCTTTCTTTCCACTTAGTTTCAGCTGCATTTCTTCTTCTTTTGAATCCACAGTATTTTCCTCTGGTTTAAAGGCACATAACGCGACAAAAACTAGCCTTCGTAGTGTAATTCACCGACTCACTTCCATCCAATCCACCCGGAATCCTATAATGAACTAATTCACTTCCATGCTATTCACACGATAACCCTTTAATCTCCTCCCTTCCTGTCCTGATAATGTTTGACATAATTAGAGCCCATTAGGATGGGTTCATACATGACAATCCAAAGTATTCTGCACCACTAAAGCTACTTCTGATGTATGTCATTCTCAGCATGATTAGGGTACTTAATGACAACATGAGCTGAGATTTGGGCTGATGACAAGAAGTAGCCGGAGCCACTCAACTAAATAAGTTTTCAACAAATACTAAACCATCATCTAAAAATGGTACCATTATCTTTTCATCCTAATGTAACATCCACATAAACACAAAGCCAGTTAGCTCAAATGGAGGAAGGTTGTGGTGTGTGAAGATAAGACATGACGCAAAACTCAAACTCTGTCTTGGTGGCATTAACCAAGGAGACATTTTAAGTCACACCCCACTCCAAATGCCTCAAAATTAGTCTTTAGTATGATATGAAATAATAGATTTGATGCATTAATATTAGTTATTGTACCCTTTTGTCTATTTGAATATATTTTACACAATAAAACATTTTTCTATTTGGTAAATGTTGCTATATGACACACAGCATTCTACATTGATGTGTAAAAATTTACATAAAGGGGGATAATTCATCTTTTTATAATAGCGATGGATAGGGTAGAGCCAGGCGACAACCTCCAAACCAATGCAGAATTGCCTTAAACTTGCATTCATATAGAAGCCTAAGAGAAAATGACTCTACTTCTCACTTGATTTATTACCTCAGTAAACATTGTAAACATGAGTTAATGTTCTCAATCTCTAGTTTCAAGTCTTCTTCAATACATCATGATGTTCATTCAGTAAATTATGGACCATTTAGAGTCAAATACATCATACAGCAGAGTATGCTTTAGGGCATGGCTACCTTGTGATTGACAGGTCGCTACCTGAGCCAAATACGGCGTCTCTATGACGGCATCACTCCTCAGCAGTCCAAATATGGACACTTCCATTCAGTGGTTGCAACAAAAAAAAAAAAAGATGGCGACGGACAAAATGCCGAACTTGAGGCTTCAAAACTGCACTCCACAAACCAATGGATGACGACTACGTCCACTTCTTATGGGTAGAGCTGAACCCGCAGAACATTTACACCACATTTACAGCTGTTGAACACACTGGAGCATTTAGCAGCTTTAGAGACAGATATTTCCTGCAGGAGTTTGTAGAAACAATAAAAGTGATTGAAAATGAAAAGTTTGTCAGTTCTCTGGCTAATGAGCTCCCAGATCTGAGTGCAAAGTCAACAGTCACTAGTCTGTTGGTTACAGTGGTGTTACAGTCAACTGATCACCTTATGTCAATTCAAGAATCTCCCGGTTAAACTTTGATTTATATAACATTTTATCTGATCAACTTCAGAGTTGAAAATCAGGATCTTCAGTACATGCAAGTAGAGTGGATTACAGTAGACCACAGCTGTTAATTGAGCCAACAATGGGTGATTGAACAATTGTACTGTAGTTATTTTAGTCTCCAGCTACTCACTAAATTGAAGAGTAAACTAATTCAATAAACGTGACGAAAAGTCAACCAAATGCAGAAGACAAAGCTTTCTAACAGCGATTGCACTTTGCCTACACGATAGAAAAATGTTGTGCAATACCAAACAAACTTTTCATGAGAAGAACTTGGGAGGGGTGTTCTAATGCTAGCAAGAAATTAACTCGCAAAAAACTCAACCAGGTTTGGGAAACCCAGAGGCTGATCAAGGTGTCTCCGATCAAGTCTATACAAACTGGCCTCTCAGCATCAACTCATTAGCACCTATTCAGCCCCTGATTCCACCAGCTGTCCCTTCACACTCACTCTCACACACACACACACACACACACACACACACACACACACACACACACACACACACACACACACACACACACACACACACAGGGTGGTTCAGCATAAAGTCATTAAAGTCTAATCAATTCACAAACTCAATAACACAAACACCGTCTCGCTGTCAGAACCATTACTGATGTATTTACAGCAGTTCAGAGAAATGATGACACGCACACACACACACACACTTAGAAGACAGTCAGTCATGCATGCAGCACTTCTACACCTTTGTGATTGTTGACTTTTCCTTTTGTAAAAAAACAGGACTGAGGAATGAAGATGGAGCGGTGTATCATTATGTATCACACTGTGTTCTGTTGACACTACTGTGTTTGTCAGACATCTTCATTTATACACATGTGATCAAGCAGCATTATCATTATACAAAGGATTTTTTGCACAACACACAAATGGTCATAATAATAATAATACTAAAAAAGCTTATAATTAGTTCTTTGTTAGCTCAGACAACTCATAATTATAATGCAGATTTTAAGCCTAACAAGACAAAGGTGTTGGGGAAGCACGGGGGGACTTTGTTTTGCCTCCAGGGCCGAAGATGATGCTCACTTTGGAGACCTACAGCATTTATTCATGGACACATTGAAGCCTAGACTGTACATCTACTAAAGCGAAGCAACTTTACTGTTAATTTCTTCCATCTTCAACCGACGACTAACCACACACTTGATCAACCCACACCACTCTACTTTAACAACATATGCAAAGTGTCTACACTCTCCAAATACAGTTGTAACTTCTTCAATGTTGTTACTTCATCACTCACTCCGACCAGTGGTGCAATACCATCACTGAGGAAGCTATCCTGCCCTAACTCATGAGTTAGCAGACGTACTGAGCCACATTGAGAAGCCATACGCTATTGCTATTTTTTTGTATATTGCACACTTTTCTATACATTGCACTGAATCTGTGAATGTTTCACGGAACCATTGCCATCTTCTTTTGCATAAAACAATACAATTATCTTTGCACTACACTCATTTCCACTATTACCGTAAGTTGTTTTTTTACTTTAACTTGCATATACTGTATTGTATAATGACAATAAAACTTAACCTTACTCACTTTTCACATTACAATTTCATTGTACCTTGTACCATAGCACATTAGCCCTACTTAAGATAATTAACAACTAAACAGGAGAATTGTTGATGTTTTGCAACATCTAAGTCTATCTTTTTGAAACTGGACTCTGTTGAGGCCATTGTTGGACCGCATTAACAACAGATAGTGACAACCAACTTGTCCTGAATCACACTCAACATGTGAACTCACTCTTCCTGTTGGATAAAACCCACCGTCAATGTATCTTAACACCATGTAACATTTTATAATTTATCTATGGAGATAAAGGGGTTGTTGGGGTAGTAATAAATGATCAAATCTGTTGCCCTCTGTTTCAGTCACACTTTTGTATTTTCATTACAGTTTTGGTTAGTTTATGCAGTTAATGATCAAATCAGGCTTTCTCATTTAAGGACTCCAACAATTGACATTTGGGGGACATTTTTCAAAATGTCAAAGCCTTTCTTAAGTTGGTGGTGTTAGTTCAAATACAGAATTAGAACATGGGGGAAAACTGTGAACAATGAGCACAAATCTGTAATCTTGGTTGTATTGTGAGTTTTTCTCTGTACTGACCTTCAGCTCCCAGTGAAAGGTCATCTTCAAAGCTGCAGCCGTTCTTCAGCGCTCCTGCTCTCACACACACACAAAGTCGTAAAGTTGTGAAATACCTTAAGTAACACATACATAGTAACATAGGGTGAGAGACATTTCATTATCAATTCTGACATGAAACGTGAACAAATTCCAACTAAGTTGTGATGGCTGGTTTCAAGTATTTAGTTCCCCTTAAGTGTCCTAACAGGTTTGGGTCCTCACAACGTAATATATAAACAACAACCATAAAATGTGGATTACCTCTGCTGGGAGAAGCACTCTGATCATCTAGAGAGGCTGCTAGGGGAGTCCTGGACAAGACACAAAGACACAGAGCGTTATATATCAACCCAAAACATAAATTGACTATGAAAAGCATAAACAGACTGTAAGTGTGTGTGCTTATATAGAAAATATTTGATGCCGGTGTGTTTCAATGCTCATTATTTTACTGATACATTTGGCTACTTTAAAATACCTGTAGGCGCAGTCCAAACAGACTAGATCCGCGAACAACAAATCAAAACCTATGAGTCCACGTGAAGTACTGACCTACGCCAACTATCACAACGTTAAGTGCGCTGAGGGATAACGGCCCCACACCACCAGTCAGACTAAGATGAGCTTTGCCAATACGAAAACTATCTCCCAGTCAGGTGACGGCCAAGTATCCCAGCCCTAACTGCGGGTCAGGCGAAGGAAAAGGGACCCCCAAGCTGACCGCCTGTCAGGCAAAGGTAAACCATCCCAACATTAGCTGCCTGTCAGGTGAAATTGAACATAACTGCATGTCAGGCTAAGTCTAAGTAACACCGGCTATCTACCTGTCCAGTCAAGGCTAAGGAACACAGGCTTGCTGCCTTTCGGGCTAAGGCTCACTATCCCAGGCTAACTCCTGGTCAGACCAGGCTACCTATTGTAGTCCACTATTGACCAGGCAAGACTAATTATCCCAGGCTGTTTTTTGGTACCCATTCCAGGTGTCCTACTGACCAGACTAGTTGTCCCAGGTTAACTAGTTGACAGCTCAGGCGAGTTGACAGTGGCAGTAAGCTGTCAGGTCTGAGCTTCTGTCTGCAGCCGAGCGCTGGGAACACTGAGCGGTTACACAACCTGCCACTCTTATCAATGGGATAAAACTTCCTGCCACCATTTAACGCACACAAACACACACACGGTTGTGCAACAGTGCACAGCCGCAGTGTTCGTTACTCCTCCTACTTTCCTCCGGCAGCCATGTTGGCATCAAGCCCCTGCCCTGCAGCTGTTGCTATAGTAACCTGTGATTTTGCTTCTGCTGGTCATGTTACCACGGTGACGTTACAGAGGACACGTCAGAGCGCTGTAGAGTCACAGGGTTGTGAGTGACAGCAGCGAGCACAGTGTGTGTTTGTGATAACAGTATTGACACAGCAGGAGAAACCCCTCCTCTGTTTACTCTGCTTTCTTTTTTCTGCCTTTCTTTCCGTCCTCTGTCAGCTTCTTCCTGCTTCTGGCCCTCTTTCTTCGCCTGAACCGCTCTATGTGCCCTATCTCTGGGCGTTGGTCTGCTCCCTTTGTGTGTGCATGTGTGCTGTATGACTAGGTTGTTAGCAGTGTGGTTCGACGTCAGCAGCCGATAGATAACACTGCTACTAAACACACACACACACACACACACACACACACACACACACACACACACA